AAAAGGAAATACACCTGTGGCAGTGTGGTAAGGGGCTATTGGTAAGATGAAGTGACTGCTGGATGCTCTCGGAAACAACTTCCAACAGTCATAACTATTGAAACAGTATCTTTAAACATATGTGTTTCACACATAAACTAAAAACCTGAGGTCATAATGCTGAAAAAATGACAAGTATTAATATCTACAAATTCTTTTCAGGGGATATAGGTACCATACTCAAACCCACCTTCTATGTTTACCACAGTACTTAATTTTATTTGCCTAAAAATTGAATGCTTGACCACAACCCTAAAAAATGTTAATACTATCTCTTCCTCAGTTTTAAACCTGTAGGAAATACTGCTTCCCTTGATCTGGAAGACCTGTTGCTGGGGATTTCACTGTGTATGGAGGCAGGAATGTTGGATGTGCAATCATTTCACATTAGTGCATATTCATTTACATATAGTTGCTGTTTTTAAGTGATTGCTGCAGGGGGAATAATACTTTTCTGTTTTATATCATTTCCTAGGGGAAAAATAGAGCAAATTATATTCCACATTTACAACCACATTTTGTAGACTGGCATGAAAGGCCATGGACAAGCCCCATTTTTATGAAGTAGGAACTTCTGGCATGCATTTAGGTGAAAGATAAGTTTAATAGACTTGCTGTAATCTCCTACTAAGGTATTCTCTTAAACAAAACTTCTGAGCCTTCTATGAATGATATTACAAGCTCAGTGGTTGTTGCTCCGGCCCTGCTACTGCAACCTCATAACTTCCATGCATTAAACTGCAGCTGCCACTTTGCCACATTAGCCTTGTGGAGAAGTTAGTAAACCCTTTGAAACCAAAACTTCTTCATATTTGATGCCTCTTGGATCACTTTCATGTTATATTGTGGATCTGACCAGCTGTTCTGAGCAATCACAGTGTGATGATTTCCTCAGTGGCTACTGACTCCTGTTTCTAAAGCACATCTTTAACACCACAATATCTCCTTTAGTTCCAGGTCCTAAGTTCTGTGTTACTATTCCTGTTTCTGTCAGGTTTTGAGTAATTTAGCTTGGCTGGTTCACAGAGGGTCAGGTCACAACAGGAGAAGCATTGCTGAATGGGTTTTAATCTTTCTTTCCAGATGCCAGGGTTGGGAAGGGCACCTTAAGTCCCAGAGAAGGCCGACACCTGGATGTAATCTACATAATATTGCAAGTTGCAACTAATATCAGGCTCTAATAGCCCTGTAACATCAAGGTGGAACTCACCCCTTGCTTTAAGTCTCTTCGTCATCTGTGGCAAGCCTTTGTTAAATTTTTTGCTTGCAAACATTCATCATCTGAAAACTCGTTGGATCAAGAATATCACAAAAGGACACCAGTTCTCAAGAGATGAGGAAAAACTTTTCACGAACACAAAACCACAAATATAGGGAGTGATGCATTCCATATCAAGAGAAATTTTTCTTTTAGTCATAAGGCAGTGTGAGGCCAGAACCATTCCTTAAATTATCCCTGTTCCATGACAGAGAAGCAGCACAAGCCCCGTGAAACAATTCCCTACTACTCTGTCTCGCCAAAGAATTACATTAGATTAAACTGGTCTTTGGATGAAAAAAGCCACGATCAGCAACTTCATATCTGGGCTCTAAAACACATGGGCAAACATGTATATGGTCTACATATACTGGTAAACAGAATTGCTGTAAAATGAAACACCATTTCTTCCTCCCAGAACAGACATCATCCAACCCTGCTAATACTCTGAGGCTGGCAGCCTCCCACAGTCTTTGCAGGAGGCAGACACAAAGAGAAAAGACAACTCCAAAGTCTTTCATAGCACAGTCTTGTGAGAGTTTGCATGCACCAGTATGTGCCACTAGTGCCTAAACAGTGTCAGTACAAAGCATCCATAGAGAAGCCAGTGAGGTAAGAGCAGCAAAACAACCTGTATCCTGGAAGCCACCAGCCAATTCTGGTGTTAAAACAGCGTGTTCTGTTCAATAAGTCACACAGATATTATTTGGGTAGGTGCAAGTTTTCAATGTGTTCTAAGAACTACTGCAGTCTTCTTGAATTATTTTCACAAAGTGAAAATATCACAACAAGCAATGCCAAGTGGTTGTTTCACAACAAGCAATGCCAAGTGGTGCTGGCTCAAGTGGCCAAATCCAGACTGGAGAGATTTGTGGAGTTTATTATTTTTTGTACTTGATTAACATTTACCCACATGAAGTCGTCTGAGGTGATTTCTAAACTGAAAACTGGATGCAAAAATCCCACAGCACTAGTTCTGCTTTCACTGGGCTGATACTGGGGATTTTTTGTACAGGAATTGCATGCCCCCACTCTTGGTAACCTGGCCTGGATAAGGATGGGTGATAGGGTAGGAATGCAAGTATAAATAGTGTGTGTGAACAGAATACCCAAACTGGCATGTTCTGAGAGGATGCTTGCCCAAAGCCTGATAACACTATGAGGATATTAACAATAAAAAAGCTTGCTTAAGACAATGACCACCCAGATTAAATGCTAACCAGGGAATTAGATTAACAAGAGGCTTCTGAGGGGGAAAAAAAAGCTTGAAAAGCAGTATGAGAATTTGTGATTATTAGAAGAAAACTTGCAGCAGGTGCTAATATTTCTAAGACCCTCCTCATCAGATATGGTAAGTAGCTGCCACCCCACTGCTGGTATAGACAGTGGTGGGGGACTGACAGGATGAAGGAATAGTAGGGACCCACACCCCTCCTGGTATGTGGAACGGCTGCACAGGCTCCCAAAAGTGGGACTGTGTATTGTAATACACACTTCTTGCAAGAGAGTGGAAGTGCATGCAAGAAATGTGTGACTATGTAAGTGAGATCAGTGTAGAAGGGTATGAAACTTGTAGGTGCTTACCAGCAGTTTGTAAGCCTCTTGTATTCTGATTTCTGTTGTAGTGATGATACTGACCCACAATACATAGTTCATTGATTACCAGCAAATCATAGATTGCTAATCAATAAACCACCTTAGTTGCTATCAAGTCTGTGTGAGTTACAGAATCATTTTCTGCCAAAACTGTTTTTTTCATTATTACAAATTGGACAGAAGCATCACATCTGCAGAGCAAGGAGTGGAGAGAAAACAGTCTCCCAAGAAAGCAGAGAACATGTAATTCATTAATTTGAAAAAAAAATTAAGATTGAACTAGAACAGGATGAATTCAAATATCCTCCTGAAAGCCTCCCAGATGGACAATGATGTTTCAGCCCCAAATATTGTAGGGATGTACCAGATTCAATGTCACTAGAAATGCTGTAGCATATCAGCAGCTTTGTATTTTTTGTCACAGTGACCTGTGTCAGAAAAACAAGGCAAAACAGGCTGACAAGGGAGAAGTTTTGCTCTAATCACATCAGTGATATTAGAAGCCAAGTCTATATCAATGATATTATCTGCCAGGCAAAAACCACACATTTAGAAAGAGCTTGATGAAGTTCAAGTTGCCCACTTGAAAACATCTCCTAACAATCAATATTTGTAGCAATGTTTGTCAACAGTAAAAGACTCCATCAAGGCACAGTTGCTCTTTTTCTGAATCACAGATCGAGTCGTGCTTACATGAGGACTTTTTAAGGTAAAGACAATCTAGTATTTTAAGAAGTAGTTGCATTTTTATATGCTGAGCTTTATTCTAGAATTAGCATGAAAATTTAGAAATGGTAAAATGGACAGGCTAATATGAGAACTCCAGCTGTGCATTCTGTCTGCCTACTACCTTCAGAGAGCAATACCAGTTAGCTACCCATCTACAGAAATCAGTCTTTTAGAAGGGAGTATTTTTTAGTTTCAGGTTTTTTTCTGAAGTTCCAGTAGCTCAGGCACCTGTAGAGAAAGCTAATTGCTGAGCAAAGAACTTGGATGAAAGTTCTGCAACATGATACAACTGAGAAACTCAACACAAAAGGATCAGCAGCAGATGCTGTAGCCATTCTTTAAAGGCTATTCTTAAAAGGGTTGAAAATAGATTTCATTGGATTTCTCCTGAGTGGTTTAGAGACTCAACCATCTACTGATCACCTTCATGGAAGCCTGCTTCCTATGATCCTGCTTCACAGGTATTTGAAGACCAGAAGCTCAAACAAAACCCTTAAAAGTGTGTTCAGATCCCAATGACCTTGGAGAAGGAAGTGATTTACAAGTAAATAGGAATATGTTCATCACCACTGAAGGCAAATATTAGAGGTATTAGGCTGGCATAACCAAGACAGCTTCCAAGGAGCTGCCCACATGAAATAACCACTATGAAAAGTGACACAGCAGATTTAAGAAAGCTACTGTGAGCTCTACCAAAACCATCCACGGGCCACCAGTGTGAAACAAGCAGAATAAATCTACTCCAAAAAATGGATGGTGTTCACAACCCAAGCTGCAAAGTCTGGAGAGTATGTCTGTCCTTTCACCCAGCCAAAAGTGCATCAGAAAGGTTCAACATTCACCAGAAGACAACAAAAATCTGCATTTCACTAAGTTACTACAAAAGACCTGACTGACTACAGCACATGCTCCTTCTGTCACATAGACAGACTCATCCAAGGATTTACTCTTCTGAAGGACAAACTAGTCAAAGGCAGAGAGAAAAAAAACTCCCCTGTGATCTGTAAACCCCAAACCAAAAGTCAGAAAGTATCATGAATGCACATGGACTGATACTCTGCATGATAAATCATTAAATTAGGTATCAAGTTCATTTTGCTACAGACCACTAAATCATGTCAAGAGCATGTCCTGCTTCCTAATAGTTTATCCTCTTAATTACTTGACACAAGGGAAACATTCCTGGAAGCTTCACCTAAAAAGCACAGGCTGCTGTGTATTAATTTAAGTCACAGAATCAAAATCTCTTAACTAAAGTTAGCATTGTCTGGGGAGAAAAAACCTACACGAAAAGCAGTATGTAATCAGAGGAAAACCAGGCAGAATACAAAATATGAATTAGAGGCTAAGAATGAAAAAATACAAGATAAACAAAAAGTTGTATTTAAAATGGCTTTTTACTCACATGAATGGCAAGAAGGAGCATTTTTTAATAGATAGCGTATTTCAGAGAAAACAGAAAGTATAGATAAATTTCTGTTGCACATTTGTGGAGAAAAACAACATATATCAGAAAATTCCAACAATAGCCATGGTAAGCCTTAAACATAGGAACAGAAGTGAGGCGGTTTTTAAATCAGCAGCTCCAGATAGCCTGCATCCAAGAATTTTAAGAGCTGGCAAAAGAGACTTGTGTGCTGTTAATGTGGATTTTCCATAAGGTCTGAGAAATTTAGGGAAGCTCAGGAAAAAAGGAAAAATCTCAAAGAAAGCTGAGGTAATGCCAATACTAGGAAAATAAGTAAGAAAGGAACAAATTTGGCACTTATGTTCAACCTCACCTTAATCCCAGGGAAAAAAAAACCAAACCCAAACCAACTTCTTCATATAGGAATAAGAAATAAATGAGCAAATTGTACTTAAATTACACAGCTTAAATGTATGGAAAACATATATTTTCAGATTTTTTTTTCTCATGCAATTACAGCATTTGTTTGGTGGACAATAGGAACAGTGTTGATATAACATATTTGCACATGGACTTTTTCAGTAGGACACAGAGAAACTGGCACAGTCGTGCACCTACAGTTCACAGCAAGCAAATTAAAACCAAGGCTACAGGTCTGTCTCAGTCTTTCTAATTGAATCCCACAGGAATTAGTTCTTGGCAGCAAGGTACTCAGTATTTTATCTGGAAATAAAGTTTACTAAGAACATTCATAAAAGCTCTAAGTAAATAGTGCAGCAAGGCTGCTGATTGGGAACCATCTGGATTACTGGAAAACTAAGTGCTTCAGCATGATCAGTGTGAGGTCATGTATTTAAGAGTGATGAATTTAAAACACTTATAGATGGAAAACTTCCTCAGGAAGTAGCTGGAATAGCTGGTAACAGAATAAACATGGGTATGAGTTCAAAAATAGTATAAATGTAATTGTTAAATGGTTCCAAAACAAACCACCAGAACAAAATGATGTTTTCATTGCAGATGGCAAGAGACCAGAGAAACATGAGTATCACCAAAACATATTTTTCACGTACTGATCTCCATTGGCAAAAGACATTGCTGCATTTCAGGAAACAGCACCAGGATGACAACTTCTTTATCCACATTTTTTGGAGCTGCTTTATCAGAATACAGCCTCTAATACTTTCAAAGAAGATATTAGTAAATTAGAGATTTCAAAGAGTAGAAACAATCCAAGTTTAGGTAAACAAGCCTAAACAATGGAATAGTTGGCATATAAAAGTTAACTGCATCACATGAGGTTTAAGGACCAAATGAAGACATCTAAAGCAACTGGCAAGGAAAATAAAAACATTAAAGCAGAGTGTGACAGCTGAAAATAAGCTCATCTTAAAATACCAAGCAAACTTTCTTGAATAACTGTAGTAATAACTAAGCTTCCACAGGTGCAGTAGTTATGCTAACATTACACATGTCTATGATTCCTGGACATAACTCTAAATTAGAATTTAGTAATTAATTTTAAAAGATACTCATAGTGACCCTACTATAAGCCATCATTTCAATACATGTTTCTCAGGTTCTCCAGTGAGCTAACTTGAAACAGACATATTTTCAGCAAAACACTTGGCTTGGGACTAAGAATTACTGTCCAGGCCAAATCAACGACAACGCTCAGTAAGAAATATCCCTCCAATGCCCAAACTGAACAGATAATGGACCTTCCATAAATAAAATTCATTTAAGTTTTTAAATTTAAGCATGAATATAACGAGCGCTTTTACTTAAAACATTCAATTCTGCTCTCGCAGCTCCACTTGACAGATTCACACTGGGCTGGACCAGACCGCTGGGGCCATCGAGTGCAACCTGTGCCCGAACACCACCACATCCAGCTAAACCATGGCACATCCAGCCGTTCCTTAAACACCTCCAGGAACAGCGCCCACCATCTCCCTGGGCAGCCCCTTCCAATGTCTAATCACCCTTTCTGCGAATAAATAAATCCCTACTAAATTCCAACATAAACCTCCCCTGGCACAACTTAAGACCGTTGCCTCTCGTCCTGTCGCTTTCAGTAGCGAAAGAAGATGAAAAGACCCAAAGGCTCAGACGGGTACGGGTTCGCTGTCACTGGAAGCGATGAAGCCTCGCCTGTGCGCCAACTCCCGGCCCTCCCCCCAGCAGAACACCGGAATCTCCCGGGAAAGGCAAGAGGGAGCTCGAGATGCCCGCGGGACCCGAGCGGGAAGGGCCAAGCCCGAGGAGGGGGCACAGGAGCTGCCAGCCCCAGATCCCGCTCCGCTCGCCACGAGCCGGGACTACAGGGCCGCCATCCATCCATCCCCGCAGGAAGCGGAGCCCTCACGGCTTCCGCGCCCGGCGGGCGGGTGAAAGGTCCCGCGGCGCCCGGATGGAGGCGGCGCCGCTCCGCTATATAAGCGCCCGCCGCCACCGCGCCCGCCTCTCCCGCGCCGCTGCCGCTGCCTCCTGGCTCACCGCTGTTCGCTGGGCCCCGCGCCGCCCGAGCCCGGGAATAAGTCGGTCAGGAAGGCTCCGCTCCCGCCATGGTGAGGCGGGGGAGCGCCAGGGATATGGGGGAGGGAGCTGGGCTGCCGCGCCGGCCCCGCCGCGTGGGCGCCGCGCCGGCCCGGGCGGTGCAGGCCCTCGGCCCCGGGAGAGCTCCGCGCTTCCCGGCCGTGCGGTGGGCGGAGGGCTCACCCCGAGCCGGCGGGCACGGAGGGCGGCCTGGGGGCCCGGCAGTGCCGTTCCTTTCGGGACCGGCACCGCGGGGCAGCGCAGGCGGAGTGCAGGCGGCCGCAGCCCGGCGTGAGCGGCGCTGATCCGGCCTAGTGTCTGCCCTCATGGGCCGCCCATGTTAGCGAACGCGGTCACCTAATGCGGCAGGTAGCACCTCATGGTCAGTGTGACGTGCAGTGTTTCACAGAACCACAGAACAGGTCACGTTGTAAGGGAGCGCAGTGGGTCGTCCTAGAGCACATGGCACAGGATTGAGCCCGGACGGCTCTTGAGTATCTCCTGTGGGGGATACGCCATACACAGCCGCTCTGGGCAGTCTGTTCCTGTGCTGAGTCACATGCACGGTAAAAAAGTTCTTCGTGTTCAGATGGAACTTCTGTGCATCAGTTTCTGCCCGTTGTCTCCTGTCTTACTGGTTGGCACCACCGAGAAGAGCCTGGCTCCATCCTCTGGGCAACCCCCCTGTTTACATTTTTATAGAAGCATACGTAAATATATATTTCATTCCTCTTCTCTTAAGACCTTCATTTATCCATGTTTTTATTCCTATTTCATCAGCTCACTTAACTCACATTAATGCCCCATTATTTGCAAGTGTTAAATTGCTTAAGCTCCTCAAATCAGTTTCCTGAGTGGCTGAATTAGTCTTTCTGACCAGGTGCCCCTTTTTGTTCTCGTGGTGTGAGTTGTTGCAGGTTTATTGATCAAGGGTTTGCTGCTTCATTTGTGCTGAGGTTAAGTTGTAAGATACACAAAGACTGACTTTTTTTTTTGAGGAAAAGGAATGTTGGTTACAGCTGTATATAGGCAAACCATATATATACAGCTGTATATAGGGAAGGGTGTGCTTGCAGCTTCCCACCCTGAGGTGTAGTTACACACTAAAAAATCACTTTTCCTTAGAGTTAGGACTTTGACCTTTCATTCTCTTCCCATTATTTCTACCATGCTGCCATGCCCTTCAGATAGCTCTTCTAGTCCCATAGCTAAATTGTTCTTTACACTTTGGAGATCTGTTTTTACGAGGCAGTGGATAGTGTTAGTTGGTCTTTACTGCAGTGTCTGATACTTGTAACTTCAACATTTTAGGCGTTTAAGGATACTGGCAAAGCACCTGTGGAACAAGAGGTGGCAATTCATCGCATTAGAATCACTTTGACAAGTCGTAATGTAAAATCACTGGAGAAGGGTGAGTGTGCTTCTCTGCTTACTTGGGAGCTTGTCGAGTAATAAATAATAGGTGCCATGCAAGGCGTTGCAAAATACAATGTATTGAAACCAGTTGTAATTAAAGATGGTACTGTTTGCCTTTTTGTACGTGCCTCGGCTTGCAAAGCCAACCCAAAGTGCTTCATACACCACAGAAAGTAAATTCTGATTTAATTTTTAATGACAGTTAGTGTTTAGGGGGTTTTCATTATATGGAAAACTTACGTCATAATCACTAATGTAAGAAAGTGCAGCTTCTTCCCTTTAGCTCTTATGGAGAATTTTGAAATAGTTATCACACTTTGAATGTATAAGAACTGAAAAGCACTGGTTTCTCCATATTTTGTCATTTCTCTTATGAAGAGTTTAGTGTAACGTTCTTTAAAAAAAAATAAATCTTGTTTAGGAACTAGCTTTGCCAGTATTTAATCATATAATAATGTAAAAAAAAGTTACTATTTGCAGGATCTTCAGGCTGATAACAGCTTAAATATGGTTTAAACGTCTAGTAATGGCTTTTGCTTGTTGTTGCGCCATGACTTTGCTCATCATGTCACAACACTTCCAGCTGTACGTGGTTGGCTATGAGGATAACGCTTAAAATGAATTGCAGTGATCACTCATACGCTATTCTGAGCCAACATCTTGTTTAAAATACTTGCTCAAAAAATCAAGCAAGTAAAATAGTCACAAACCTGAGCTGTTGCATGTCTTCTTACAGTCTGTGCTGACTTGATCAGAGGTGCTAAGGAAAAAAACCTGAAGGTGAAGGGACCTGTTCGCATGCCTACCAAGGTACTTGACACTGTTTTCCTGTCTTAAAAGTAGGTTTTCTTTTTGCAACTGTGTGCTTAAAAACATATTTTTTTGAAGAGCAAAAGGTGAGGTAAAAAGCAGTGCTACTAAACTGAGGGTTGACCCAGTGTAAAAAGATTATCTCACACATTGTTTTGACACTTAGGGTAACTGTTAAGTGGTAAAAAACGTGTTGAATGTGGAAGGGGCTTTTCTGTTCAATTTATTTTAATAACGACCTCATTTTTTAAATGAAATATAGAAGGGAGTGAGTGTTAACATCAGTAGACCTATTATAACTTCACAGGTAACTTCCTAATGGCATAGGTACCATACAGTATTTGTAGGTGATGATCTTTCCATGTGGTTGTAGATTACTCCTCTCTCTCAGTGCATCAGCTCAATGCCCCGTGTTTGACTTTTCAGACCCTGCGGATCACTACCAGGAAGACGCCTTGTGGTGAGGGTTCCAAGACCTGGGATCGCTTCCAAATGCGTATCCATAAGCGGCTCATCGACCTTCACAGCCCTTCGGAGATCGTGAAGCAGATCACTTCCATCAGCATCGAGCCAGGCGTAGAAGTTGAAGTTACTATTGCCGATGCCTAAACATGGTCATCCTTGAATAAAGTTGATTTACAAATTTTCATCACTTGTTTCTTTTCTTGAGTGTGCCAAGAGATAGTTCTGTGACGGTTTTTGTGAAGGACAGCAGAAACCACAGAATGCTGTGTGAGAGGACTGTATATTTAAGGAAGCATATGCCAGTTGTAAATACTGGCATATTCTTCCTTAAATATACAGTCCTTAAATTTTGTATATTTAAGGAGTCCACAGGTACCAGGGCTATGTCCCCCAGTGCCTGTGGACTCCTTTAATATACAAAATTTAACTTGAGTGTCCTGGTTTCATTGGAGGCTGGCAGCTACATGGTTATGCAGCACTTTATGAAAAATATATTTTCCATAATTTAGGGTTTGATTTTGGCTGAAATGTTAGTTTATACACAGTACCTGCATTAAAATTGATATTTAGGTAAAATTACCAAGTTTTCAATTCCTGGTTCTTGCTGTGCAAGACTGAACTAACGCTTAGCTTATTTGGATTTATTTTTCTTCCCATGTGTATCACAATCAAAGGATCCTGGGGGCAGGCTGCTATTTATAAAACTTCATAAATTCTGGTGAACACATTGAATTAACAAGTTTATTCTTTTGATGTGCGTGTAGAGTCACAATACTGAACTGTGGAACTAGTTGTCTTTTCAGGTTTAGATTTCCAAAGATATTATTAATGCTAAGAGTAAGCTTCATCTATAAAGCAACAAAACAGCCATTTTTATTGCCGCTTTAAAGTCTCTCAAAGGAACTTTAATTAATCCTTAAACCAACAAAACAAAGCCCAGAGTTCTAGAAAACATTTTGTTTAATCCATTTAGGATCAGGCTGCTGCTTCTGCTTCAAGCATAGGAGAGAACTTGAATTCTAATTAAAACAAGCAGTGGTGGTTCTCTGCAAGCAGGTTGAGGTCCTGTTTATGTTTGCTGAGACCTAAAACTGACCAAAGCTTGAGCTTTCATACTCAAGAGAGGTTTTCGATTTCCTTGAATTTAGGGCCTTGCAAGTATTCTGATCCTCCCAAGTTTCCTTAAATTGAAGGCCATGCAAGGATTCTGTCCCCCCAGTCAGTAGGCTTGAGAGCTTTGGTTGAAGGGAGGTGAGTGAGTTAATGGGAACAGATAGTGTCAATCCTACTTCCTTGAGAAATAACTATGTGAGCAGAGGGGACAATAGTCCCCACCACAAAACACCTGTGTGTTCCTTAAAGTTTGTTTCTGGTAATATGCCACAAGTATAAAGCTGTAGTTTTGAAATTACTTGTATTATCTGGGTTGCTCTTTACAGGAATAATTGGCAAATAGCACATGGAGAGATAACTTAGCACTCCCTCACTGACATAAATTACTTGTACTCAGGTAGTCTGATTAATAGAGTAGCCCTGTGACTGACAGCACTTGGAGGGATCTAGGCACGGCAGGCTGGGTTTGACACTATTGCTGCCTTTGGTTTTTCTGTTGGTCAAAACTGTAGAACAGTTTTGTACTCGCTTACACCTGGCTGTACCTCGGACTTGCCGGGTGCCTCTTAAACACACCTAAATGACCTGAAGTCCCACCGATCTTCTTTCAGCTGTGGAACTTCGAGGACCAATTTCCTTTGTCATCTCTTCACTTGTCTCCTACTTACCCATAAACACAGACGCAACTTTACCTTTGTGTCTGGGTCCCTCACTGTGCAGAAATACTGCTACCCGCCTCCTGTGTGACCAGGCCGGCTCACTCGGGAGGGTTTTACATTTGTTACCGGGAGGGTCGGTCAATCCTTGGCTTGTGGAAGGCGCTGGACTGTGGAGCACTTCCAGGCTCATCCTGCCTTCCCCGCCGTCCCTGACTCGCACACTCCGGGCTTTCGCGTGACCCGCACATTTCACGATTTCATTTATTTCCTCACTTCGTTTTCTACTCCTACACCGCGGCAGCGCCGGGACAGTTACGTAACACCCACGCTGACTTTATATAACCCGCTCGGATGGAAACATTTCGGTACCCGCGTCTCCCCCGCCCATCCTCCCGCCTCCCCTCCTCCAGGCAGAACACCTCTCTCCTCTGGCCGCCCGGCTGTCGGTTCAAAGCTCTTCTTTACCGCTGTGCCTTACTCAGGACGATAAGCAAACCCTGCGTACCGAGCACACGCCGCTACATCCCGCTCCCCTCATTCCCCGTTCCCTCCTTCCCTCACGAGCCGGCGGCGCCCCCTGCCGGCCCGAGGGAGCCCTGCCCGCGCCTTCCCCGCTCCCCCGCGCTCGGCCAATCAGCGCCCGCCTTCCCCCGCGCCCGGCCAATCAGCGCCCTCCTCTCCTCCCAAAATGCCCCCCCTACCCTGGCGCGGGCCTGGCTCGCGGGTTCCCGCGCGCGCCCAGGTAGCGGCGGCGCTCTGGGGGCGCTCCCGGGAATGGGAGCGGGGATCGGGAGCGGGGGTGGCCCTTGGCCGCGGTGCCTGCGGGTGTCGAGCCTGCCGGGGAGGGGGCTGTAGCTGGATGAGAGCAGTGTCCAGCTGAGGCTTTCCCCTGTGTGTTTTTCCTAGTATAACCTGCCAGGTGTTTTTTTTTTTTTTTAAAGGTTGTACTCCCCAAACTTCTCCAGCTTGCCCTGTTTTCTTCGGAAGTGCTTGTTTATATACGAGCTGCCCCCATCTTTGTTATGCTCCGCGTGTATTTTTGTCCGTTCTCTCAGAAAATGATGGGCTTTTTTTTTTCTTTCCTCTTTCCTTTTAAGTTCCTCTGCAGAGAACGATGGCTGATGAGGGGAAAAGCTGTGTTCCCACGAAAGTGTGTGATGTGTTGGAATCGGTTTCTTTTCTGAGTGTAGAGGGTAAATCTTCACCCTTGGCGTCAACAGTATTGCCTAATACAGAGGAACAGCAGGTGTGCATTGGTTTTACAAGGTGCATTCTGCTGATGCTGGGTTGTTTTTTTGGTGGATTTTGGGGTTTTTTTAAGCTTTAATAAATGTTTCTTTGGTGACAACTGCTGTACTCCTCTTCCCCTGAGATGTGTTTGATTCTTCTGCTTATTTCTCTTTGCTTACACACGGGTCATAACCTGCACCAAATGCAGACACATGGTTAATGCTATGTCATCTGATGTGCTATACTTTGAGAAAAAAAAGCAAAGGACCTCAGTAATTGCAATTTAAATGTAGTGAGACTGTAGTGTTCTTTTAAATAAGCTTTAAAAAATACATGGATCCTTGATGTGAAAGCTCATTGGGTGCTTGGAAATAAAAATCTGTAATGCTCTGCTGTGCTCGAGCAGGAGATAATATACCCAGCTCTGCCTTTTTAGAGGGATCTGTTTCCTGGGTGACTTTTCCTCAGGTGACTTCACTTTGCCTGATTAGTGCTGGTCATGATAGGGCTGTGGAGAGCTCATTAAATCCATCTGCTGAATGAAACGTTGCCAAAGTGAAGACAGAAATTCCTCGAGAAAGGAAGGAGTGCTGGGATCCCTCCAGAATGCTCCCTGCTATCAGTGCTTTACCTGTGAGGGGAGGCTGTTTTATAATGGTTGGGGAATGGAAAAGGCCACCTGAGCAACTGAGAGCAGTTTCCTGCTTGTGACCGTGAGGAAGATGAGGGTCTGGTGCCTGGATGGTGGCAAGGAAGCGGTCTCTTGGGGCTAGGAATGTGTCACTCGGGGCTAATGCTCCATAGGAAATGAAAGTGCTGGGTAGCAGCTGTTAGAATAAATCAGCTTGAATTCAGTACAGCGGGAGACCAGAAGGTGGAAGCACTGCAGTTCGTGCCTCCGATAGTGTGCTCTTGTAAAATCAAAATACTGCTTTTGTCGTGAAAGAATGCTAAAGGGAGGGGAGGGGGGGGGCACACAAAAGAAGGGTTACTTAAGGACAGCAGAAGGGAAAGAGGCAAATAAAAGCTTAGAGTCTGAGCTTGACATGAAAGGAAAACGTAAGGCATTAATATAAAATAGGAAACACCGTATCAGATGGTATGCTGATATGATTTGGGGCTGTTCTGTTTAAAAAGTGACAATTATAACTGTGTTTTGTGTCTTTCTTCTTTTTATTGAATAGGTGTATGAGCCTTTGAAAGTCTTCTTGAGAGTGAGGCCCTTTTCTATAGCAGAGCTTGAAAGCCATGAATCCCAGGTTTGTTGTGGAACTAAGGAATAACGTGGTTTTTTTTTTTTTCCCTCCCCTGGACAACACAAAGTGTTGTAAGGCAGAACTTTCTTTTGCATAAGCCATGTACTGCCCTTATGTAGAATTATTTGGCATCTGGATAGATGCAATATTTTTTTTTTCTCACCCCCATGACTTTTAATAATTTGTATGATATAGATGTGCACACCTGTAGCTCTTCAAAGTTTCACTGGGGACGTTATTTAAAAATTGGTGTCACCTCTCTGTAGTGCTCAACATACCAAAGAGTTTTCCATGGAAGAGATTATGCAATTCTAGGCATAATTTGAATATCTGACCTTTAAGCTTCTTTGAAATGCTTGAATAATCTCCTACCTCATCCTGGTGACTTCTTGATTGGCCTGTCAAAAATCTTCTGTAACCTCCACACTGTCAGATTCGGGTGCTTCAGTGTTTTATACACACACATGTACAAACATTTAGGAGTGCTCCCCTTCCCCTCAGTGTGATCACTGATGCAAAGAATTCCTTTAGCTGTCTTTGGAGGACAAGATCTCTATATCATATCTCTTAGCCCTTGTCTTTGCAGGCTGTCTGATTGAGGAAAGGTCAGCTTGAAGAGCTCTAAGAAGGATTTAGTGTTAGTTCTTATTTGCTTCTTGCAAATTTCTTTTAAAAAATGCATTCTTGCTTTTGATCTACCAGAGTTGAAACCTTTGTATTGTTTTCACTTGGATAATTCTTCCCCCCTCCCTTGCCCCCAACTTCCCTTTGCCTTTTCTTAGCTCTCCTTGAATAGTGTGTACTTCCACAGTGCTTCCAGTTTGGTAAATTCTGCAGTCTGAGCTGGCTCCAAGTGTAAATTGATTTGCAAAATCAAATTGTTTCAGGAGTTGTTTAGTGCATTCCTCTTTGGAGCGAGACATTTCTTAAAAGCAGGGAGGAAAAAGTGAACATTGAAGTTTGTCCAAATTTTTTTTTTGTTTTCATGTAGTTCAGGCTGAAATAGTTGAACTTCCAACCTTTTAGCTGTAGAATTTGTTTTGCATGGGATTAAGGCTTTTTTCTCAGCCTCCAAAAATAGAATGATTGAAAGATCTTCAACATTTTTAGTGTTTTCTACTTTCTTTACTATCACCTGAATCCGAGAAGAAAATTCTTGGTAACAAATGGAAGAAGCCCACACAAAACAGTCAAGTTAGCCTCACTTCCTAATTGTTAAATCAAACAGATCAATTTAATTTTTAGGTCTTATTCCTCCTTGCCATTCATAATTTTCAGGAAAGCACCTTTGTTCCAAATCTGTAGCACAAAAAAAAAAAAAAGTAGAACCTATTTCTTATAGTTTCAGGCTGATACTTTAAACAAAGACAATCAACAGGTTAACTGATCAGCTGATGCTTATAGAAATAATGATTTATGGAAGTAAAGCGTGAGAGCTCTGGGTGAAATTCTGTACTCCTGTCAGCAATTCTCAAGAGTCACCTGTGGGAAAGTAGGAAGTTGTGTTTTTTGGATATAAATTATGTGTTCAGTGCCAGAAATGGTGCAGCTCCTGCCAACTTACCTGCAGGGTTAGCTGGGGGAGACAAGTGGAGTGAGTTGTTACCAGCTGGTTTCCATCTCTGCAGATCTCACTGCTTTGGGCCTCTACTCAGGCTTCTGTGGGGTTGGTGGCAGCTGATGGCACATGCTGCACATCCTGGATTATTTCTGTAGCTCTCTGGGGTTTAGTACATCTGACAGCACTCCTGTCCCTGCTGATGTGGGAGAAATGTTAAAGACTATACAGGTTCAGAGCCTGGCACAGGGAGCAGGTGATTGGTCTGAATTCAGAAAGCAGTTTCTTAGAGCTTCTCAGAATCACAGAATAAGCTGGGTTTGAGGAGACCTGCAAGGAGCATCAAAGCTCAACTTGTGGCACAGGACAGCCCCAAGAGCCACACTGTGTGCCTGGGAGCATTGTCCAAATGCTTCTTGAGCCCTGTCAGTCTTGGTGCTGTGACTACTTCTCTGGGGAGCCTGTTCAGTGTGCAGCCATCCTCTGGGGGAAAAACCTTTTTCTAATATCCAACCTAAACCTCCCCTGACAACTTCAGGCCATTCCTTCATGTCTTGTCACTGGTCACCAGAGAGAAGAGATCAGTGCCTGCCCATTTTTGTTTCCTTGTGAGCAAGTTGTGGGCTGCTGTGAGGTCTCTGCCAGTTAATTACTGGCACAGAGCTTCTATATCAGTTAATAATCAGACTTGTTAATTGAGGCTCCTAGGAACAGCAGTTCTTCCTATGTACACACCACACGTGGATTATTGATCTTAGAAGTTCTGGCCAGTCTCTGAACATAAATGTCAGGTTAAGTTACAATCAGTCCTTTCAGATGATGCATCAAGACATTGTTAAGCTATACTGGGAGTTCACTTTGCATCTTTGGTGGCCTATCTGGTATAAAATAAATTTTCCTTCAACACTGCAGCCTACAATTCTCAAGCTAGTGAGTGTTTGGTAATTGTGTTTCACCTTTACTTAATTGAGAAATAGCAATCAAATTACTTGAAACTAATTCAGTTTCCTTCAGTACTGGTAACACTATTTATCAATCAAAGGGTAACTTACTTTACTTTGTTAATTCTGCTCCTAGTCTGTTTCTGCTCCTAGTCTGAAAATGACTGATGGGGAAAAATAGTATATTTCTATGTAACTTATTTTTGTAGTGATTGTGCAAGTCACAGTCACAAAATACAAGAGTTTAGAAAGTGTTCCCAAGGAAAAGTTGCTGGAAGGAATACTAGTAGAAGTTTTTACCTCTTAGAAAACCCCAAAGGATTGCCTTGACTTTGTCTGTACTCTGGCTTTCATGTGAAGTGAATATCTCTGTAGTGACATGCCTTGAGATGATAATTTAATGTAAATTGAACATTTAATGTAAATTGTGGCACTTCTTGTAGCTCTGGTAAATGGATGAAGATACTTGGCTTTTGGGGGTTGTTGGAGGGGATGTTCATTTTTTTTTTTTTTCCCTTTAATTAGCTTTCTTCCTGATTAACTTTGTGCTGTGCTTTGGTTTACCTTGTCTTGTTTTTTTAAGGGTTGTGTAACTATTGAAGATGCACAGACAGTAATTCTTAATGCACCCAAAGAGTCTTCTGCAATGAAAAACAGTGAAAGAGGGATTGGTCATGCTGTGCACAGTTTCACCTTTTCTCAGGTAGGCCAAATTATTTCAAATTTTTGATTTAGTTTTTTTTCACTATAATGAAAGCTGAATTTTGTATTATGTCATGCAATATGATTTTTTTTTAATTACATGTGGTACTTGCCTTTTTAAAAAAAAAAAAAACCTGAAAACTCTGCTTATTAATTACTGATAAAGTGTCAGGAAAGCTGTATTACCATGGAGGTGCCTATTAGATAAGACAAAGAAGCTTCTTTGGCAGGTCTGTGGTTTCCTTTGATTAGATGCTACAGAAACATATTGTAGACACAAACTTACTGTAGTTCTGCTGCTCCTACAGATGCTTTTATCTCAGAAACCTTATGTTTATAGGAATTTATGTAAGCATGTCACTTAGTAACTTCCTTTTGAAAGAATAGCAGCTTAACTGCTTAAACCTTCTATTCTGCAAGCAAATTTCTTTCAAATTTCTTGCAGTAGCTTTGCCTACTGCAAGAAGTTCTGTTTTTATAGTTCCAAAAGATAAACAGTTCCAGAGATTGAGTTATTTAGACCATTGTAATGCTGATTTTTCTCATCAATTGTGGCTAACTGGTGAAGAATGTGGAGGGAGCTTCACATCACCAGCAGAGCTCTTGAAAATGTATGCTGAACAGCATGTTCTCAATAGAATTCTGAGCAGTTTATTTTAGGAGTAGGAAAATATTCAAAAATGAGTGCAAGCCTGAGTGCCTCTCAGAATTAAGCAGGCATCCTGTGAGAACCCAACAGAAAACATTGAATCAGAAGGGTTCAGGCAAGACAGGAAATTAAGCTGGTGTCTCCTACCCAGCTTGTTCTGAAAAAATCAGTCATGTCCAATCAGTACTCAATATTTTGGCTTATTAAACTTCTTTGTACCATTTGTCACTCCTTTTTTCTTTCTTTCCCTTATCCTAGGTCTTTGGACCAGAAACTACTCAGAGTGAATTTTTTGAAGGCTCAATGAAAGATATCATAAGAGCATATATTAATGGAGTGAATGGACTGGTATTTACTTATGGAGTTACAAATGCAGGCAAGACATTCACTATCCAAGGTATAAAATATTTGCATGTGTAAAACCCGAGTCAAAGCCAATGACAAGCTTACATGAATGTTTACACTTAGTTTTTTAATATTTTTAAGGGACTTCAAAAGATCTTGGTATTTTACCTCGCTCACTTGATGTGATTTTTAACCACATAAGAGGAAGACATTACCTGAAGATGAACTTCAAACCATATTTGAGCAATGATGTTAAGAAACTAGAAGATGAACAAGTTAAGCAAGAAGAAGCCTTAAAAACTGCTATTCTTGCATCACTGAAAGAGGTCAGTGACCAAATGCTTCTTAAAGCTGTTCTGTAAGACAGGAAGTTTTAAAAGTCTTTATTCCACTATTGATTCTTTATATATGTTAAAATCTACAGTATGCATACTTGGTGAATTTTGGAATAATAAGGCAATTGGCTGGTCTTGGAGCTCAGGGTAAACTGGAAGAACTTTCTGCAGCACAGAGTTCAAACCAAAAACCATCACAAAGCCAAATCTCAACTTCTAGAGAGAGCAGTTCTGACACTGTGGTGAGAGTAGCCTTTGAAAAATCTGAGAGCTGCATGATCTAACTAAAACCTGCTTCTTGTTAAGTGGCTCTTTATGCAGGTTGGGTTCCCAGGCTGGATCTTGGTGCAGTCATTCAAATGCTTGTACTAGCTCAGGAGAGATGATGGCACTGTCTTAGCAGAGGCAGTGAAGAAGGCAGGGAGAGTCTCTTTTGGTGGAAGACAGTCTTAAGGCAGATTAAAAAGTTTATAAACCTGTGATTTATGGAACTTCACAGTGAAGCTTTCTGACTCAGCATGTGAAGGGAGATGCCACAAAATGAATGTCCTAAAAGGATTCTTCTCTGCCTTAGGGGATAGTTATGTGACTAAGGCTGGTCTCTGAAGACTGTAGATAAAATAGAGGAGTCTTTACTGTGGCAACCCTCCTGTTCTTATTATCTAGTGATTTCTGTTTCTATGGTAAGAAACTGCCTCACCAGAAAGTGGGCATCCATGTACCTGGGACTATTTTCTACTTCTAAGTTGAGTTGCAGTTTGCTGTTAAATTCCTTTTGCTCAGGACATTTTCCCCTGAAGTGTGATTCTGTGCATCTAATCCCAGGATGCAGTAGGCTCAGCTGGTTATCATTCAAAGCAACTCTAAATTAATTCTGGGATGTACAGAAATAGTGATTGGTTTTTCTTTTTTCTGTAGTGTTTAACACTAACCTTGTTTAAGTACTCCAGTTAACCCTGAAAAAATAACATTCTATGATTCAAATTCATATGTTAAATTTCACATTAAATTTTGTTGCTTAATTTAAATCCTGCAACCCAAAATTTTGTTTATCATGAGTCTGGTAAACTCTTGAGGAAACATCTCAGATGAAAAATCTAAAAGATTTGAGAGATTACCTATTTCTTTTGAAAGTGTCTCTGAGTGTGTGTATGCACATAGAGGGGGAGGGCATCTTAAAGAAAAGTTGAGATGGTTAGGAGGATAGTAAGTAAACACCTTCAAAAATTTTATGGAAGCTACAGCCTTGTAGCTTCCATAAAAGAGGAACAGGCAGGAGCCCAGGGTCTGGAACAAAGGGTCAATATCTTATTTTGAAGATAACTCTATAAAAATATTTCATTCTGTTAAGTCACAATCTGACTTACTTGTAGCTTAGTAACTGAATGTTGCAGTAGGTGGTCTAGATGCTGATGCACTGCAGTGCAGAGAGAGCAACAGTCCACTATCAGAAGGACAGGTAAAGCTGAATCAGGAAACTATTATGTGACAGAACCCTGTTTGTGTGTTACAATGCTTCCATAGAGGTAGCTCAACCATCCCCAGTTCTGATGGCTTATGAATGAATTGCATCATTGTTTGGATGCTCCCTCTGCTGTAATCTGAGAGCAGATAGGATTTGGTGGGCTTGGCTTTGGTTGACATGGATTTCTGTAGGCTCATTTCCCAGGCCCAGTTTACATATCTCACAGAGAGAGCTTGCTGTTCCTTTCATTCTCCCAGTTTTAACTGCTCTGAGTTACTGCAGCACTTAATGTCCTACTTTCTATTCTGTATGCAGTACTGTTACAGTACTGCAACAACTCTTGCTAAGCATGGTTCTTACCCTCCCTTCCTTCTCTTTCCTGGTTCTCTTCATGGGGTTAAATACTGTTTTTTACTGGATTAAAAGATGCTTTATGAGCATTCCTATTCCCACCTGTTATTGTATTTTCTATTAAATGTCAGCTTCTGTTGTTGGCAAACAATGTCAGTTCCTGTTCCCACTTGTTTTTTAGCATCTTCATGCTCTTGTCTGTATTCCACTTGAAAAGTAGTATAGCAACAGTTAATTCACTCAGTTTTCTCACAATACCTTTATGAAAACTTACCACATGCACAAGTAATGTGGGGCTGGGTTTTCTAAATTCCACTGCATTTTTGACATGCATGTGTGTCAGTCCCATATCCTGCTTGGCACTTCACAAACAATGAAGAGGACCCCTGCTGTGGTTAGGCTTCTAATACTCAAGAAACAATCATATAGACAGTGCAGCTTCTGCAAAATGGTCACTTGTATGATTTTGTTGTAATTCTATTCTATGCTATTTATTTTTAAAATGTAAGACCTCAAAGTATGGTGTTGTGCCTCTCTGTTTGTAAGAATTCTGGTTTGGGTGTACCAAGTGGGTAACATTGGCATCAGCAGTCAATCTATGATCAAGTTAGTGCTGCATTTGAATAACTCTAACACTAGGGTTTGCTTCTCTGGATCTGTTCCCTCCTACTGCAGGATGATCCTCTGTCAGGAAAGAGAAATCAGGGTGAATGTCCTGATTTATAGGGGCCTATGAAATATGGAGAGAGGGGTAGTATGTAGAGATGCTGGGCTCTAGTGGGAGTTCCTACTTTGTTACATTAGCTTTTCCAGCTGTTACTTCAAGGCTGTGCTTTGGTGAATCTTGGCAGATTTAAAACAGTTCTGTTGGTGTAAGGAAATTCAGCAAATGTGTGTATTTAAAGAAACTATGTCTGTATTTCATGGCCTTTTAGTTCAGTCTGAATTAAAGCAATGTAGCGTGTTGGTTTGTGATAATTGAAGTCCTACCACCTTGGCAGTACTCATGGAGGAAACTTCTCCAGTTCTTTTGGATGACTGAAGCACTGCTCAGATTTGGTCAATGGCTCATAAAGGCACTCTGAGCTGTTGCAGTCTGACAGAATCCTTTTTCTCCTAGGACTCTGAAGTTAAGTCTCCAATGTTAGCAGCAACTGGCCACTGAAACTGGTTGCTGGGAGTAGGAGCAAGCAATAATTCATGTGGTGGAAAGAGCAGTTATTGATTATAGTTCAGTACTATTAAATACATTTTACTTTCAGCCAGAGTAAGGGTGGCCTAACACTTAATATCACTTCAATATTTAAATCTCAAGTACTGGAATTGCTGTCATTTTAAACTTCTGCTTTTCTCATCATCTGTTCATGTGGATTTAATAGTCTCTTATTTTCTCAAGGAGACAGACAGCATCTCAAATACAATAACAAATTTCTGTGATGTGAAGTTGGACTCTTCTACCTGTACTGCAGACAATTACCCTTCTAACTCCCTAGGTAAAGTGGAAAACTGTCATGTGTGGGGAAAAACATAACATGAATTAAGAAATATTAGTGGGTTATTACCAGTGGATAAAAAAATCCTTATACTGTACTACAAAGTAAATATATATAGGTTTTAACCAAATTTTTGTCTTCCTCTGGAGAAAGGGCAACAATATAAAAGTATTTCGATAGTTTCACTCCATTTGGGGGGAAGAGGGAGACTTAGTTTTGCAAATAAAATGTATAAACTGCTGGAAGTCTGTGATAAAGCAAGGCCATCATCTTAGAACTTGGGCATATTCTTGTAACAGATCACTGCCAAGAAGTCTGAACACTTTTGGATAAAGCTGAAGTTATCCATGTGTATTTAATTGTACAACACAGATGTATCTAAGTCTTCTCCTTCAGCAGGTTCTATAGGTCCTTTTAGAAGATTCTATATACTGATTTAAACTCTCTCAATGAGTTGATCTTTGAACTCTTCCTCTGTTTTGGGTTAGCAGAGAAGAACTTGGTTCCACTTGATATTCATAAGACCAATATGCAGCAAAGAACACAAGCATCTGTGTGGATTTCCTTTTGTGAAATTTACAATGAATATGTGTACGACCTATTGAGTATTTTATCTACATCAAAACCTCAAAGGCGCAGAGTTTTAAGGATTTGTGAGGATCAAGGAGGAAATTGTTACATTAAAGGTAATAATACTGTTTTGTGGCCTGGGCAGTTGCACAGAATTTCTCTGATGATCAGAAATGTATGTAAAAGATCTCTTTTTGCAGATTTAAAGTGGATTAATGTTCAGAGCACTGAAGAAGGCTGCAGACTACTAAAAATAGGAAACAAGAACCGAAGCTTTGCCTGTACTAGAATGAATGAGCAATCAAGTAGAAGGTTTGTTCCTCTAATTATAAGCATACTCTGTCCCTTTTGATGGGAAGGGAGGGCACTTTAGAATATGTGTGAAATGAATCACTCTTCAATAATGGTTTAATACATCACTTGATTATTCTGCTTTTGTTATCAAATTCTTTCTGAAATAAAACCAGGAGAGACTCTGTGACTAGTAGTAGCTACACTTGGGTTGCTATTCATGTCTTTGGACAACCAAAAAGATCAAATCATGTTCATTTTTGAGTGCCAACAGGGCTATGCATCTTGGCAAATGCTAGTGGTGCTGAGTGAGAATGGATGTGTGAGGATGCTGAAGGAAAAGCTGGTTAATTTTTCATAACTGGCAGTATAATTCTTGGAAACCTGGAGCCTGCCACTGGGGGATATAGGAAGGATCAGATCATGTGGTGTCTTGCAGTGCTGCTGGATTTTCTAGATGCTTTTCGATTGCTGTGTTCAAGCTGAGCGTACTTGGTATCTTAAGAATTAAACCCCTACCTTTTTATCCAGCTCTGGACAGAGGTCAGGGAGAAACTGGCTTTTGATGGAGCAAGAGGAAATAGAGGAGGTTGTATAATTTCTATTGAAAGTGCCTCCTTTCTTGATTTTAATGACCTCTTAATAATTTGTCCTTTAAGTGTGGAAGGGTTGTGTTTTATTTTTAGCTAATACAATCATAGTATTACTAAGCCTGCTTTTTTCTGTAAAAAGAGTTATTTTGTTCTGTGTTAGCTAAAGACAGCTGCTGTTAAAGTTCATGCTCTTCTTACAGAGTTTTATGCCTAGAATGCCCACTGCTTGAGGAATATGCTAAAGAAGTTTGTGAGTTGTGCTTCCTGATGAATCAGAGAAACTGGGCACTTCTGGTTTTGTGACTTTTCTCTTTGGTTTCACACAGCATGCCCTACTGCCTGTGTAGATTGTTTTCTAAACCAGAGTTACTGGATTTTCAAGTGTTATAAACTCAACCTTTCTGGAAAACAGATTTATTTTAAAACCAAACAAGTAACTGTGCATATTGAAGTAGGCAAAATTACAGGACTGTAAAACTTTAACTTATTCCCTTCTCCCTACCATTTGTTTCTAAGTTAATCCTTCAGATTTGCTGAATTCAGGTACTGCCAAAGGTTTTCTATATGAAGTAGCTACATGTCCACTCTTCTTTTGACCAGTAGACTTTAGTGAACTGGCTTGGTGTTTTTCTCCAAGACAGATTGTAGACTTTATGTGGTATTTTTCTTTTTCCTGTGCAAAAAGAAATAGAAAGTCATAAAATAAAGCTTTTTTTGCTGCTGAATGAATGCATTGCAAAAGTAACTAATATACCAAGATAACTAGTGAATTAATTCTTGTCCTCTCTCACCACTGAGCTTTCTGTAGCATACAAATTTTACTTTGCTTCAATGACTGCTTAATTTTTGTAACTGACTATTAAAAAGAGCTTTTTTCCATTCCAGTCACAGTATATTTTCCATCAGGCTACTCAAGCTAACTGATGAGCATCAGCCTCGTGTTCTTGGAGTGTCAGAGTAAGTGAATGCTTCATGTGATTACCAGCAATGTAAATATTTTGGAAAAATTATTAAGGTGTAAGCATGCCAAACTGATGAACTTTTTAATAATAAACAAATTCTCTGAGAGTTGAGGAGGAAATCAGAACTCCACTGAGCACATAAGCTGACTGGAAGCTCAACAGGGACAAGCACAAAAGTGTTTTCCTGTCTCTTACTCTAAGGTTTTGCTGGAGCAGCTCTGTCAGTAGTGTGTAAATTGAGGAAAATGTCTTTTCTCACATAATGGAGAGGTGGTGGCAGAGTAAGACCATGTAGCACCAGATGATATGTCCTGGTAAGCAGAATTGAAGTGTCTGGCTGATAGAGGGTGATCTCTGCAGCTGGAGGGCAGCAGTTGCTGCTGAAGGGCCAAGGTGCAAGCTGTGCCAATCTGTCTTTCTGCCCTGGGACCAGACTAAACTTCATGGGTCAAATGTTTGTGACAACACATTTAGTGTGCTCCTAGAATGTAAATGAAAATCTTTCATCCCAAAAGAATTCTGGTGGCATGATCTCAGACTGTTCCATGGTCCAATGTACAGTAAGAAAGGGACCATCAAATGATTTGCTTGAAAACTGTTCTCATTAATGTAAAATGCCAATGTAAGTGTGTCCTGTGAGAGCAGTGTTAAGTCCTTACACTTAAGTCTCTGCTCTTTCCTGGTTTAGGGGAAGCAGCCTTATCTTCTGGCCTGAAGGCCAGAAGATAGCTTTTTTTGGGATGGTGTCTGTCTTTCTTCTGATTAATTTAGCTTGATAGAGAAAAATTGATACAGACAGCCTGTAACAGAATGTTTTAGTTCAATCCTAGCTCCTACTGCTTTCTCCCTTGACTCTGCTGAGCAGGGATGGTAATAAATATACTTCACTGTGAGGTAACACATTTAAATGTCAGATGTTACAGTGATAAATACTCTTAAGAAAAGATAACTTGAGAAAATGACTGCATCTGTTTTGGGTTTTTTTTGCTGTTCTCTGTCATAGTGTATCCCCCTGGCAAAACTTGCAGCAGCTGTTAGGTGAATGACAGAGTTTGTATGTTGCTTAAGGAAGAAAAAAGCTTTTCATCTTGTGCTGGAAAGGATAAAGAACATAAGGTTTTCATACATTTGAAATAGGTGCCTTAATGATTTGTATAGGACTTACTTTAGCTGTATGAAAGGTTATGGTCTTACAAATTATTTAAATAAGTTCTGTATGCGTAATGGTATGGTCACATAAATTATCCAACTTCCAGAACTTCCTGTATTTCAACAGCTTTCCTAATATAAAGTAAAATTTATTGAATTCCTTGATTATCCAGGCTGATTTTCTGATTGTAACCTATAGTGCCATGAGGGACAATTCAGTGGCCTGAGTTTAGCAGCAAATAATTCTATAGCCAAGCAAAGAGCTCTAAGGTGAGCTGAGAAGGACTTCATGTGTGTGTTCTGGATAACTCTTTCATGCAGATTGTCCTTCTGTGACTTGGCTGGTTCAGAGAGGTGTAATAAAACACATGTCTTTGGAGACAGACTAAAAGAAGCAGGAAATATTAATAATTCTCTTCACATCCTTGGAAAGTGCATTGCAGCACTGAAGCAAAATCAAAACCCAAAGTAAGTGACAAGTTATTTACATGCTCAGTTTTAGGTGGAAACACTAAGTATCCCCTTGTATTTCTGCAAGCAGTTTGCACAGAGAAAATTGGAGACCTACGAAATCTTTTAAGTCTTCTTTATTAGGATGTCACTGTAATACCTGCAAAGAACCGTCTCTCCATAACTGGTGTTTGTGGAGAGCAAAAAAAGGTAATTTGCAGTGAAGTGTCAACATTTTTTTAGTGTATATATATGAACAATACACTTTGTGTACAAAGCTTCAGTTTTGTCATCTTCACATCCACCTGCAAATTATACAGGTATATTCATCAGGCAGCTGATGGATGACCTGTACTTAGATTTTAGCTTGTTCCACTATCTGCTTTGGAACAATAGGAAACTGTGATGCAGACACCATGCTACTTTTACTTTTAAATAGTTCAGTTTGTTAGAAAGCCTATGAAATCCAGCAAAGATGTTGCTCTTTGATGTAAAATCCCTTAGGCTTAAATATGAGCATCCTACTGGATGCCTTTCCTGAAAAGGAGAAACAGAATTAATGTGAGCTACAATAGCCCACAATATAATTTTTTCCCACAGTTTAATTTTAATTTTTTCCCTCCCTGAGGATGAAGCCAAGCTATATTCCATTCAGAGAGAGTAAGCTGACTCGTCTGTTTCAGCCATTTTTCTGTGGGAAAGGCAAAGCTTGTATGATTGTAAACATCAATCAGCATACTTCCACATATGATGAAACACTGCATGTAATGAAATTTTCAGCTCTAGCCAGACAGGTAAGAGTATATCTACTTTTTTCTGCTATTCTGCATTTTTTTTTTGTTTGTCGTGATTTGTGAAATTATCAGGTTGGATTTCAGTGTGATTTGGATTCTTGATTATTCATATTAGTTCTTCTGCACGTGGCCTCCCTCTAAAAGGCTCCTAGTAGCCTTGCCCATCTTCAAACCTATTTGTTATAAGAAGTTAAGACAACTGCAGCTGTCTGACTGTTCAGTTCTACACCACTGATGTTCTGTGTAAAGCACAGGGCACTGTCAGATATGACTGATTTATACCATATAGTTGAGCAAATGCAGGATTTCAATTTTAAGTTTTGATGAATTACTTAACCTGGTGCAGTTAAACAGCTGTTGCACAAGATGAGTTGTTAACAACTTCTTGGACAGTTGGTGGTGGTAAAAGTATCATCATCTTCTGTAGTCTAAATGAGATATTTTCCAAGTGCATTGCTCCTATTTGGCTAAAGTAAGTAATTAATGCCAATAATTAATAATAAAGAAGTGTCTTGGCAAGCTTTTCCTCCATCTTCTTCAATACTCTTAGGTGGATCCCATCCAGCCACATAGACTTGTGTGTGTCTTTGTGCTGCAGGAGGTCAATGGCCATTTCCTCCTGGAATATGGGGGCCTCATTCTGCTCTCTGTCTCAATCTCCCCCTAAATTCAGGACTTGGGGTTGATGTTTGTCCTTAACCTCATTAAAGTTCCCTGAAGCTTCTTCTTGCAGGGAGTGGGATGGTGAGCTATGCTGTGTTTCATGGCAGAAATAAAGTAATTTTTTAGTCTGGAGCCACAGATGATTTCTGTCATGTTGTAACAAATCTGTATTAGTATGTCTAATATGATCTCAGAGAGGAAGATCATTCTAATTCTCTTCAGGTGTGACTTTTGTTATAAGTGTGTACTGTGGAGAAAAACTTCTCTGATATGCTGTCCTATGGCATAGTTACTTAAAGTCTTTATGTAAATAACATGAATTTCTGACTCTTAGTCATGTTGTTTCAGGAAGGAGCAATGTTGCAGGGATTTTCTGCTTTTCATTAACTTTGCAGGAAACTACACCAAAACCCTTATATTTTAGGGGAAGAGAAACCACCTGTCTAGACAAGTATGCTAAGTTTGCTAGCAGATAATATTTCCATTTTCACTCTTTTTAGAGTACTTAAGTCTTATGTTCATGTAAGAATCATGTTACATTGATGGATTCTTCTTTTTTCTGCTAAAAGGCATGTAAGCTTTTGTTGACATTCATGTAATCATTAAATATTGTGTAAACACAACAATGCATTCATGCTACTTCTTCCTGGTATCCTGATACCTACAATATTGACAGCATTAGTAAATAATCTCTGGATTTTTCAGGTTATCCAGACAATCCTGCCCAAAAATTTTGGTTATTTTCCACCAAAGCTAGTTGGAGGTGATGGCAAACCTATGATGCACTTTGATGCTAACACATCTGTAGATGACTTTGCTGACAGTACTGAAACCTCTGCAGAAGAGGAAGTGGACATCACCATTCTGAGTCATGAGGTAAATGCATGTCTACTTAGAACTGCACCCAAGAAAGCACTTCTGTTAGTTCTAATATTGTTTGAGCATAAGAGATGTGCTGAAAGCTGCATCAAATGGGAAGTTTAAGTTTCTGTTCAGTGTCAGACTGACTAGACTTTGAGTGGCCTAGTTCAGTGTAGCTGTGGAAGGATGTCCTGTGGCTTTCTAGTTAGGTCAAGTGCTAAATTTGGAATTCAACTGATTGCCCAACAAGAAGACTAAGGAAGCAGTACATATCTTTAAAATAACATAATTTAGTTTTTTGTGCGTTTTTTTTTTTGAAACAGCAGTAACAAGTTAAGATGCAGCATTTCAAAAACAAAGATAAACAATCTAATAGCAATCAAGTGTCAAATCAAAGTACAAATCTTGATTTGTAAAAATCAAATAGGTTTTATGTTGTTATGCTGTACAAACGAATATTTAAATGCCAAAACAGAAGTGAACTTTTTGATAGTGGACACCATCAAGATGGACACAGGATGTATTTGCAGTAGAAATTTATATTGGAAAATATTTAAACTTTGGTGCAGACCCCCAAAAAACATAAGTTTGTAAAAAGTACCCTCTATGGATGTCTGCCTGTAAGAATATTTTGTTTGAGATGCATGTCAATATGCATTTCAGTGTTGGTTTTTGAAGTGAAATATTTTAAATTTAGGAGCTCTTGAAAGCTGCAGAGGACTTAAAGGAGAAGGTAGCTGCAGAAAGGCGAAGTAAGCTCCTTCTGGAGGTGAAGATCCGTAAAGAGATGGCAGAAGCAATGTTTCAACAGCTGCTGGAAACAGAGGAAGCCTGGAGGCAAGTCCCATTGCAGCCTGCTTTGAGACTGAAAGGGTTCCACTGGTGTCAATGCACACGTGTGGATGTGTGTACATACAGGTGTATATTCAGGACATTTCTGCTGGTGTTATTTAGAGAAGACAGGGCTGCACAATTTCAAAACCTCAGAAGGAAAGGGAAGAAAGAGCATTAAACTTGTTCAGAACAGGCTCTTCCCATTTACAGTGAAAAAGTAATGCTGTTTTCTCTTCAACTTTCCTCTGCTGAATGTGTAATTACTGGAGCCTGTCCTGGCTTGTTATTGCTACTTAGCAGATGTGGAAGATTGCTACAGGTACCCCACTGAGGCTATTTTTCCAAAACACACTCTGTCATGTTAATATGCATGCATGTGCTTAAGGTAGTTTGACTCATGGCTCTTTTGAGCTCCTCTGCATGACTTATGAGCCACTGTTAGTTTACTATCTATTACTGTGCCTTTATGAATTATCTTATGAATTATGAACCCTGCATTGATGTTAATTTAGGAATTTTTTTTTTCAAGTCCAGATTCCTCAAGTTGAGTTCACTTCCTCTTAACTCTTCTTTAAATCAGTTTCCTGCTGTTTGAATTGTTTAAAAAATTAACACCAAGTTGCCAGCTGAGCACACTATGGTTTAACCCCTGCACTAGCTTTAAAATTGTTTGGTGTTCTTTGGCCAAACAGATGAATTAGCATTGATGCTTTTTCTCTGTTGAGGTGATTTTCTGCATCATTGATGGGGCATGTTTTTAAATTTTGACAGTAATGTGGGAAGTATTGAAATAATAGATGGGGAGGGACTTCTTACAAGAGTATGTAGTGACAGGAGAAGAGGGAGTGAATTCAAACTGTGAGAGTTGGTTTAGCTTGGTTGCTATGAAAAAATTCTTTACTGTGAGTGTGATGAGGCACTGGAACAGGTTGCCTAGAGAAGTTGTGGGTGCCCCATTCCTGGAAGTGTTTGAAGGACATGTTGGAAAGGTTTAGTGAAAAGTGTCCCTCCCCATGATAGTGATGTGAGATCCCATGATAGGGATGTGAGAATTAGATGATCTTTAAGGTCTCTCCCAACCCAGGCCATTTTCTGATTCTATGAAAATGGATTTGACATTTATCTTAAAAGGAAAAAAAGAAAAACCAACCAAAACCCTAAGTGAAAGATGGCCCCAGGATGCATGTTTCAAATATAACATCTAAATGGGTGTGGTCACTTCTGTTGCTGTATGTTGGTGGATTTTCTTGATTTCTATATTTTTTTTCTGACAGGTGTTAACTGTGTGTTCTCCTATAGAATTTATTTGGTATATGCCAAGTAGAAGTTACACTTTGGTGCAAGTCTGTAGGATCATTAAGATCAAAAGGAAAAAAGTGCATTTTTGTCTTTTTGTTTCACTATTTCTGATTAGAGAGATAACTTGAATATTCTCAGTTGAATACATGTATTCAAATGCACTAGCTAGAATGCAAAGTTAGTTATATTTTACATAACTAAGTTATATTATACATAACCAACATGTTCTCTTCAGCAACCGCTTGGAAGACCTGAAAGACAGCTATGAAGAAAAACTCGAGAGCAAATTTGAAATGTATAAAGAAGCCATTAAGAAACATGCATATATGTGTGCAATGGAACAAATTGAAGAGCATTATGTCCCCATAGAGGAATTTCTAGCTGAACAAGAGAAAGTTGAGGTATGACTTGACTGCTATTAAAGTATGCTCTAGCTTCTTAACTGTAAATTTTGCTTTTCTTTAACAGAATCACTCTGGGATTTTGGATATAACACTAAACAAGGAAAATAACTAGCAGTTCAGCCTTGCTGTTCTGTGTTCAATGCTCACCATAAGCATACAGATGTCTTTTTGTCTGGCACCACCTATAGTGCAGCACCTAAACCTCTTGATTTTTGAGGGCACAGTTCAGTTAAATCCAAGTAATCTTTATCTTTGTGATAAAGGTGCAATGTGATAAAGGTGCAGTGACTGGAACACCCAGGGAAGTGATGTATACAGGAGTCTGGCTTTCTAGAGATCTTTGGCATCATAGGATGTAGATTACAATGCTACTCTGAGATGGTGATGGGGAATTTGTTACAGGATAGCTATTTTAATTATAACTGGTCTGGAGGTGGTGGGAGGGTTGTGGGATGAGAAACCCATGAAAAATCCAACTTCATGCAGGAGAGAACTGAATCTCCTGAATGTACTCAAACATAGAATTGCTCAGGGTTGGCATCAGTGAGTTGCTACTCCTTTTGCAATGCAGCCAGGTTAGCTATGAGCAACTCAGTTTTCTAACCTCTGCATAGATGGTTAAGTGCATCCAGGCAGCAGATGGGCCCTGTGGGTCTTGTTTTCAGAAGGTTTTAGTGGAAGAATAGAACAGCTGTGATGCCCACTAGAGGAGCTTTCTCACTGCACTCCCCTGTTCTGGACCTGATAAGCCATCACACTCTATGGATAGACAGGTTCCTTTCAAGAACTGAGAAGTGGGTTTCTCTTGTAGATTGTGGTATAGAAATATTTCTGCTTTTACAGCTCTCCATTCAGGTGCTGACAAGCAACACCATATTATGTAATGGCCTATGTTTTTCCATCTCCTTCAAATTTATCTCTTTTCCTCACTTGGACTCTGTTTCTGTGTTCAGTCAAATCCTAGCTATACACTATGCTACAGTGGACAAAAAGAGTTTTAATAGTGTTCTTATACTGGCCAAGAGGCTGCATAAGGGAAAATTCTAAGAGCAAGATGCTTTTGGTAGCAAGTCAGATAAGAAACTACTGAAATCCCTGAGATGTAGAAGGGTTAGCTGACAAAAGAAGAGAACAGCATGAATCTGAGTGGGCAGCTTCAGAAAACCAGAATTAGATGAATAACTTTTCTTGATGATGCCACTTTTTTGATTTCTCACTCTGAAATACCACACCAGCAATCTGACAGATACTGGGAAAGGATTTGAGATGAAAATGTAGCTCTGTGAAGTATTTTTTTCCTTAGTTAGCAAGCTAACTTGCAACAATGTTTAGCACAGGCTAAAGTTTCCTTTCTGCCATATGGTTACTTTTAATAACGTTTGAAAATCCTCAGACTGGAAGAGTTGACTCCTTTGTAAAGAAACTTCCTCCTAGATGTTTTTGTGACCTGAGTGTTATCCCTTACTGTGATTTCCTAACCATAACATGTGAAATAATTTAAAATTACACGTGTGTGGTATAATTGAAGGATGTGCACTAATGCATCGGATCAAGCAGAAATGCAGACAAATTTGACCATGTGCCCTTATTTTTTTTTCAGGATAGAGAGAGGAAAATACTGCAATTGGAAAGGCAACTTGATGAGCAGTCAGGGAGGCTGTTGGCTCTGGGAAGCCTGAGCTTGGATATTCCGACTTCTGAAAATAACATGGAACGAGGTAGGAATGTAATCTGGGTATTCAAAGTTCAATTTACTCCTGGTAATGTGTATAAACAAACTTTTCTTTTGCCTCCTTTTTCCTATAGATCTTATGGACATCACATTGAAGAGAGCCAATGAAGGATTGCAGAAACAATGTGAAGAGAAGGAAGAGGTAGCTCCTGCTTTGTATTTTTCTGGGGATAAAGATTGTGAACTCTGTCATGGTTCAATGCTTAAAGATGTGCATTGTAGACAAAAGCATGAAGATTCCTGCAAATGGGCATTGAGCTTATCCAAAAAAAAGCCCTTGCTCAGTTGTGGATGACTTTTGCCAGAGACTGTTCTGGCTTTATTCTGGTCTATACAACCATTTGCTACTGTAACAAGTCTTGGTGAATGTGGTGCGAGTTGGGAGTAAGGAAGTATGTTTAGCTTTGTGCTGGAATTCATTGTAAATATTGCTGCCATGACCTCAGAGCTTTCCTTCCTGAAATGCTGCCTGCTTCTGCATAGGGGAACAGTTACAGAACCTGGCAATAGTTTAGATTTTAGATCTAAAATAAAAAATAATGCCTTAAAGCAGTCCTTTCTGGAAGTACTCAACTCCACTATCACCCTAAACTTAAGTAAAGGTGAATATCTCTGTTCTTCAAACAAGATCGCTGTGCTCTGAGTACCATATAGAGGTGGGAATTATGGAAAACAATAATTTTTAAGTATGCATTTTCATTCTACTCCTTGACTGATGATCTTGTAAAGATACAGTTTGTTTCCCATGTTTAAAGAGGATATGGGGAGAAGGAAAGACATAAGTGTTGCTTCTTTCTCTAATATCAAATATGAGTAGGGATTGGATAAATAGTTCCAGCTGGTTCTAATAAGCCATGTAAATAGAAAGTGAACTTAAATCCCTTTCTATTAAGAAAGAATACTCCAAAAATAACTTTTTCCTTACCAAGTTTAATGTCTCGTGCTATGGCTGTAGGATTTGTTTTGCACTGTTTTTGAGAGCTCTACTTTATTTTCCCATGTCACTTTCAAATTTTGGTGAAAGTTTGGCTTTTATGCTTGTTGTGAGGATATAGTTATTGATTGTTTTGTGTGGCTAGAAAGTGCTAGAATGATGAGATTGATTCCTGGCAATAACTGAAGCGAGAATGGTTTAAACCAGTTCATTCCATCAGTGCCTTTCTGCTGCTTTGCCTCAAAGATCAGTGCATGTGTGATTTGTAATTCACCACTTTTTTCTTCCCATTCAGCCATTAAATGGGCTAAGGGTGTGAGTTTTTTAGCAACTCTGTAGAAGTAAATTAACAATAATATCTATTAACATCTATTTTTCTGCTTCAGAATTTTTTGCCTATTGGGGCTTAGGCTTAATTAATTAATTTTCCCATCAGAAAGGTGAGGCCTTCTGTGCTAACTGTGCTCCAGTGTGAATAGTATTAATGAGACAAAAGTGTTCTTTAAACCACTCTTACTGAAATGGAGCAGGCTGTTCCACTGGTCTGTGCTACTGTTCTTTGATTGGCAGCTCTGTAAATCACAGTAGCTTCAACTCAACAGTCTTTGAATGCTCCAGCTGCATTTTATCACCTGAAAGGATGAGCTGGGACAGAGGATGTTGAGAGAAGCAGACTTTCTTGTTTTGATCTTGCAGTTTGCACTGTTCTAGTCATAAACAAAATCAGTGTAAAACATGCTGTTCTGAACTTCCATGTGTATGGGCTTTGTTTTCAGCTTATAAAATCTCTGAAGTTTAAAATACAGAAACTAAATGAAACCCTGCTAGAAGCTAATGAAGGCTACAGAAAAATGGCAGAAGAAAACAGTCAACTGAAGCACACAATCATGCTCAAGGTTAGTCAATAATTTAAAACCAACTTTAACATGGCTTGTATCTATAGTTGTACTGGCTGCTTCTGCACATTTTTACATATAAAACCACTGTTAAATTAGCAATTTGTTTTCATGTTAGCAATTTTCTGTGCCTAACTTCCTGAATTATGAGCTCAGAGCCCTTGTGTTTCACTACTTGACTCTGAATCTTGTAAGACAAAACTCATTTTTCAACTTAAGTGAATGACTCTGTCAATGGGGTAACTCTGCTGACAAAGCCTGCTCATCTGAAGATGTCATGAATTCTTGTCAAGCAAAGAAAATACTCCTTAGAACTCATCATGAGGCATGTTGCTGAGGCAAGCAAGGTATCAGTGCACAAATGCCACTGCAATAAGGCCTAAGGATCTATGGCTTTCTACTGATGGTCCTGCCAGAAGTGGCCAAACTGACATATGGGCAGATAAACTGTTTAATACAGAAATAGCCATCTTTCCTTCAAAAGCAGGGACTTCCTTGACTGCATCTGACCTCAGATATATCAACTAGAGTCCTAAACAAAAAAATGAAACTTTTCAACTCTTGGCACTTTGAATCTATGTCTCACTTGTAATCTGCAGGTATAATAACTGCTTACTGATGTCTTTCTTTGAACATTAGATTACTTTCTGCATATTTTTAGTTTAAATCTGAGACTGAAAATTATTTGACTTGAACTTTTTAATTGGAAGTTACCTTCCTATCCCTTATTGATAGGAAGGTGATTTTGCTAACCACAGAGATTAAAGGGTGTATTTAACACTCTGTATTCTGCCCACTCAAAGCATTTACTCAGTCCTGGTTAGCAGACTTATGCTATGAGAATTTTGATTTGCCCAGTTTTGCTTTCAGAAATTGCAAGGCAGGAAAGCTACCTTTATCTGGTTCCTAGAACAGCATCAATTCTTTGCATAGTGTGGCAAAGCATTTTAGCATCAGCCTCTCAGTCAGAGTTGGTCTCTAAGTAGATTGTATGGCCCTGTAGTTTGCTGTGTTTTTAATTACTTTGATGTAATTTAGAGGAAATGGCTAGTGAATGGCCATATGACACTGCAATAACAAGGGTGTTTATGGGTTTAATAAAATAATGTGAACCAGAAAATTAACTGCATGAAAGAGAGAGAGACCATAGAGTGTTCACATACTTAACAGAGCCTTATCCTCATAGGATCAAGAAATGGATAGTCTTCAGAACTGGGCTAAACGTGTTCTTGAGCTTGAGGAAACAGTGTCTTCCCTGCAAAAAGAGCTTGAAGAACAGAAAAAAAATTTCTTTGCGGAGGAATCAAAACAGAAACCCAGGAGAGGTTTGCTGGCTAACCTGAAATCCACAGTAGCATCCACTGCTAGTACACCTCTTGGTAAAGGCTGGGGGAAGTATGAAGAGGCTTTACCCTATTCAAGAAAATAAGTAATGTTGCCTCATAAAGCAAAAGAATAATATTTGATAAATCAAAGTGTGAAGTTACTAGGCTTCTTTATTAATCTTAAACTGTTGGTAGCTCTTTCTCACTCTTAGATGCCATCTTCACTGTCATGTTGATGGAGAAAAATGTTTAATACAGAACTTTAATTGAATCAGGGTTGAATTTAGAGCTATAAAAGTATGAGTCTAGACATGTGCTTTTACTGTTGATATATAGGGATGTGATTTGAGAAATATACATATTTTAATTCTGGAGTAACTGCTATCATGGTCTTCTGTACTGATAAATGTGTGTAAGAATCTGTGTCTTTAATGCAATACAACAGATGTGTGGTTCATGCAAAGTGGGATGTCCCTCATCTGCTGTTCATTATCTTTTTAAGTTATTTTATATCATGGTTGATTCCTAGAAATCAGATGGATTGTAAACTTAATCCTAAGTAGTTAAAATAGCATGGTCCTTTAGTTAATATTCTGGTTTTGACCTGGAGACTTGCTTCTAAGCAAACTGCTAAAGAAGGTGATGAAATGAAATCTGATCTGGCTCCTTGCTATTTTTCAGCTAACTTGGCTTTGTAAAGAAATTTCTTTAAATAAAATTTGAATTTCCACTAGGAATATGTATTAAACTTTGAAACATGTATTTAATAAAATTTTTCATTGCTAAATTCAGCTCTGACTCTTCTTTTTTAAATAAGCAAAACCAAGATAAGAAAAGATCATGAAATTAGAGCCCAAATAATGACAGTGATTGATATAGGATGGTCTTGAATATTACTTAGCTTTTATCTAGTAGCTTAAGGATGGAAGACTGGAGCATGATAAAATTTGAAGTAGTTTTCCTAAAGCCCTTTCCAGTCAGTGAAGGTGAGGGGATTTTTAACTACTCTGGAAGTACAATGCCTGTAATTGCTGGAGGCTTGCTGTGGAATCTGTAAGTGAATTGGATTGATCAGTCCCTGTAAGGGAGTTTCTCTCAGTGGAAGGGGACAGAGTTCAAAGCAAGAACCTCACCCTCCCTGGGGAGACAGTAGGTGGTGCAGCCTGCCTGTCTGACAGGAGGACAGCCCTGCTCTGCTGTGACTCCTCTTGCCAGGTTGCTGAGAGTTTTGGGTTGGTCTGTGATCAGTAATCATCACTCTGACATCTATTTAACAAGGCTGTTGAGGTTTTGAACTGTTTCTGTTAAATACAGGGTTATCTGGTTTTAGTAGTTCTGAAGGCCTATAATCCCTACAAGGTAGAATTTCTAAAATATTTGTCCTCTCCCACATAAACTATTTCAGCTATAAAAAATATTTTGGAGTAGTTATATGAGACACTGAATGCTGATCTCTCGAATAAGAAAGCTGTTATGTACAAATTGCTTTAGGAAAAGCAATTAAAACAGAAGTTTAAAAAATCATCAGAACAGGCTAATACTGGAAAATTTCCATAATACCATTTCAAACTGCCTTGTGCTACACCTTGGCAGCCTGTCTAGCAACTTTATGTAACACTAACTATTACCTCCTACTCCCTGAGCAACTGTTCCCTCTCACTTCACAGAGCTCTTTGGTAGGCTACAGGAAATGGTTTGAAAGACAAAGTTACTATCTAGAGCTTTTTTCTTCTTTTTTTTTTTCAGTCTTAAAATAAAATAAAGCCTGTAGTGAACTACTGGCCAGTGCTGAACTGTTAATGTTTTCCTACAAGTTGCTAAAGCACAGTGTAGCTTTTATGTTTAAGGCTTTTGAGAAGCTGTTTTCAAGAATAGCTGAGGGGTTGGTTCTTCTCTTCATGCCCTCCAGGATAATAAGAAGTCACAAGAAGGATGCAAAAATGGTGGGTTTGGTCCTTTTCAGTTTCTCAAAGGTGTAAGGAAAGCAGAGCCCATTAATCTTGGTAGTGGTGATAATCAGAGATTCCCCTGTTCCACATGAAGCTACCATGGAATAGAACATCAGCAGTTTGTTTTATCTCAAATCACTGCCATACTACTAGCTTCAGAGTAAGTGTTTATTAAAATTAAAAATCACCTTACAATAGAAACTATTTACATATTTGACTGACAGTCTGTTTAAACTACACAGTTTGACTGAAGGAAGCCCTTGGAAAAGAAAAGCCATGAATACTTCTGCTGCTGAGCTTCAACTGCAGGCACACTGAAGCTTTCTCAGAAAAGTTTTGAGCTTCTGCAAAGTACCATTTGCCTAAATAACTGGGCTGAAGGATGGCAAAGATGTGTACTGGGTTTCAGCTCTAAGAACCAATGTCACTTTGAAAAAGAAGTAATCTATGCTGTGCTGTGGTTACACTGCAAGTGCACTGGCTTGCTCATCTGTTTGGGTAAGTAATTTGATAGAACAATTCCATGTCAAGAGCACAGCAACTTGCCTTCACTTTAAGAATTAGATTTGTAATACTAAGCAACAAATGACAGTGTTACTGCAATATAACTTGATATCTCATTGCATGATATCTCATTGCATGTTTCCACAAATTGTTTTTGATAGTGCTAGAGCTAGTTTTAGCTTTCAAACAGATTTGAGGTTAGTTGATTAAAGCAGCAAAAATATAAGGAATATTCTTGAATAACCACAGAGGATTAAAAATGAAGATTAAAATATTTTCACTGGTAACATTTTCAACGACCACAATGAAGGTATTAACTTCCTTCAAAGTCCTGTGCTTTTCCATGGACTTCAGAGGATGACTTTGGCCTTGTGGGAAGCTGAAGCTTGAACGCAGAGTGAGGTGTGCTGCCATGTCTGCAGTCATGTGTGTTCCTCTTGCACTTCTGCATCTGATGCTTTCGTAATGCTTTGAAAATTATTTTAAATTTAGGGTTTTACAGCAGAAAATCAGAACTTTTTTCAGTGTAAAGAATTACATACATAACTCTTCCTCAAAGGAAACCTTGACACTGTTTAGAAGCCTTACAAGAGGTGACAGTATGCCTGATAGTAATGTGAAATAACAAGGATATAAAAATAATTTTTGCTATATGCTGTATTTCAAAAAACATGATTTAAGAACGTCACCATGCCTTAAATCTTTGCGACTTTTTGTTTTGAAAACAGCTGTTCATGCATCTTCTCAACCCTTTTATCAATGTCTCCTTGTAACATATTGCATGATTTAGATCCTAAGAAGGTCTTGTCAAACTGTACCAGGGCATGACTGCTTTCCTTCCTTCTCCCTCCCCACCCCAAAAAGCCTGTTTGCTTTGGGGTGTTTCTACAGATGCAAAACACAGAGCCTTTAAGGAGAACTTGAAGCTTTAGAGGAACTCCTTTAACTAAATAAAAACATTATTTCTCTGCAGAATTATTCTTCAGCATTTCAGCTTCCACACTCTAAGACATCTGAATGCATGAAGTAACTGGTTTGAGCAGTCTCTTCTAAAGATAGTCTGTGCCAATGATCTATGGCAATAGAAAAAGTGTTCTTTGTTCTATGGCTGCTGTTGATACTGCCCTTCTGTTGCTGTGTAGAAGTCATCGAGCACACTCTGTAGGTAATCAAAGGTTGGCCTCTCTTCTGCTTTGTCTTTCCAGCATGTTTTCATGATATCATAAAGCTCAGCTGGGCAGGTTTCCATGCGTGGCATCCGGTACCCACGCTGAAGAGCAACCATCACGTCAGAATTGCTCATACCTTCAACAAAAAACAAAGAAGAAAGATTTGATGAAATTATCTCCATTGCTAGAGAAGTTATTTTTTTCTTTTTTTTTTACTTCACTCTAAAGATCTTCACCCACTAGTTTAATATCTTTGCTACTTATTAAAAGTAGATCCTACCATGAGTTCAATAATGGTCGAGGTGTGCACCAGCAATGAGGGACTTGCTCTGAAAATCCTGGTGGGAACATTTCCATTACTGCAGCTGAGCACCACAACCTCTTTAGTGTCAAGTCTAACAAAACTGTGAGAAAAATCACAATTCTTGTCTCCAGAACCATCTCTGCTCTGTTTTTCTGACCAATCCTGTCTCCATTTATTCTGCTTCCTGTGGTGGTGTGATTCCCAGTAAAAGCCTGCCCTGGCACCAGCCTTCATCTCTAGCTGCAGAGCTGCTGCTCTGCTTGCTGGAGACCCATCCATCCTGAGATGGAGAGCAGCCCCCCTGTTTGACCACACTGCAGTCAGCCTGCCCAAAATTTCAGGATTTCTTCTACATTGGCTTTTGTGTAAATGCTGCTGATTGAAAGATACTGGACAGTCACTCATTAAATCATTCATTGTAATAGGCAATTTCCCCTCTTGTCCTACTCCTGTCATGCAAAACCTTCTTGCCAGCTATGCTGAGCTTTGCTTTTTTTCCCTGCTTGGTTTTCTTCTGGAGGATAAGAACTGTAAGTACCAGCAGTGCATCCTGCATCTCACATGCCAGCTAATGCCACATGAGAGTCCTGCCCTAGACTCCATCCTTCTCCCCCTTTTTTAAATTTCCTGTCACCCTTCCCCCCCTTTAGCAAACCCTTGAGAAACTGGTTCTTAGAAAAATTTCAACACCTACTTTCATAAGGCCAGCTATGCTAGGGGCAGCTTTTGCTATTTTAGGCTCACCACTTCCTACCCAGAAACCTGCCTTTGGGCTTATCCCTTCCTCGGCAAATCTAACCTACCCATCCCAGTGGTTGCATTGCCTTCTCTGGCACAGACTCTTTTCTGTACTCAGTGATGCTGTTTGTTCTGATGGCTGGGCATGCAGGAAGCACCTGTGCTTCAGCCTAGAGATTCCTGCTCACCAGAGAAGGCTTTCCCTTTTGGGAAGGGTAGCCCAGACCTCTCAGCCACTCCTCAGGCTAAATGCTCCATGTGGTGCAGTTCTGCCCAAGACTACAGCTCCTCCAGGTTTTTTTTCTCAGGCCATTCAGCCTCTGCTCAGGTCCATGCAGGACAGCCTCCTGCACCCCCCAGCTCCCCAGAGGGCAGGGAGAGCAGCTCTGCTCGGCTGACAGGATGGAGGATGGGTCCTGCTCTCAGCAAGGTCAGGAGTGGAGGTGCAGATGCAGTGGTCCCCTGACCCCTCGGTGCAGCTCTGCTGCTGCAGACCTTTGCATGTATTATCTGACTGCTGTGGCTGTGAGTTGAGCC